GGGGGGTGTTTGTAAAAAATCCTAGTGTTGAAATGCGATTGATGAATATAAGACTACGAACATTGAACAGAATTTTCCGTGTGATGAATCCTCCTTCACAGAGATACTTCTCTTTAATTTGGGCTATAGGGGCATTGGTTATTCGTCGTAGACATTGGGTCCTCCCGGAGGGTGGCAGAACTTCTCCCACGTTCGCTCTGCGGCATGCGGCAAGTCTTTTTTAGTTGTCTCGCGGCCTCCAACTTACCGTGTCCAGCCCACTTCCCCGCCAATCGATAGAAGTCGTATTTTTCGTTGCCCTTTCTTTTTTTGGACTTTCGTCATACAACAGTAAGGAAAAATTTCTGATCCGCGTACAAAAGAAAAAAAAAGAATCATAATTAATCAATTCTCGATCAGTGAATTATGTATCGTAGACTCGGATGGGTGGTGGAACTTCTCCCTGAACTCCCGCTGAACGAGGCAGGGGTTACATGGCGGCTACGGTATCCATCCACTGGGAATTCAAATCTTTCCGCAACTGGGAGCGGTGAGTGCGACGTTGTTCTCGGAGAGAAGATACGAGAAGATAGATACCCGTAATCAATTCAGTGGTGATTGACGAGGACCTCAATATCATTCCAACTTGCAAATGGTCTACTCACTTGCATATTTGAATATAACGAAAGATGAAATGACATGGCGACACAATAACAGACAAACATAGCAAGTATACCCAAAAGGCGAGAAAAAGTCGACCAACTTCTGCTGACATAGGCACACTTAAACCTTTTTTGATGATCAGTACAGAAGAAGAGCTTGAATGGGAAACGATCGTCTGAAACAAAATATTTCATTACCAATAAAGGATGTACAGACGTTCAGTAAGATTCTTGTGATTGCAAATGATGTGGCTTTTACCCTGATTCAGGTACTGGTTGAATGTCGCAGTTCTTCTCTTACTCAAATCGGCCTCAAGAGGTGCTGTACTTTAGTTGAGTTTCCATCGTAATGGTTTTCCTATATCCACCCACTGTTACACGTCTGATGCATGCCAAAGGTTGTATCACGTAGAAGCGCGCGGGTACGTCGCCCAAGTATGAACGAGAGGTGTGTACGTGGGCTGCCTTTTATATTTTGGGATTTGAGAACAGGAACAAATACTATTTATTGAAAATCGCTTTACTGCCTTTCAAAACTTTCCTCATTAAGATCTATACACTTTTGCATGCGTTCGAACCAATTTTTGAATCACTTTTGTCACTCTGATTAAGGTAACTCTAAAACATGGATTCTGAACGCATCAACGGCTTCTTCAGGTGTCGAAAAACGTTGACCTCTCATTTTATTTTTTACGTACGGGATTAGAAGAAGTCACCCGGGGGCTACATGGCTGATGAAATGTCAAATCGTTGTTTTGAGTGCTCGAAAATGCAGTTGTTTGAGCCGATGTGTGGGAGCTCGCATTGTCGTGGCGTGGGATCCAACGCCAACAAATTTTTTTACGGTCAAATGTTCATGCAAAAATGAATGTAAGCTAGTCCCACTAATGCTTAAGGTTGCCTCAATCTCACGATATGTTACATGACGATCTCGCAGTATTAGTTTGTCACAGCATGAACTGTTTCCGGAACGACAACTGATTTTGGACGACCTCCATTCGTCTTCGAGTGAACTACGACCTCGGGTGAACTCACTGTACCATCGATAAACAGTGATCCTGGATGGAGCTTCATCCCCAAAAATTGAACTAAGTTCATCCATGCATTGCTGTTGAGTTAGCCCACGTCAAAAGTTGTCGTGCGAAAATGCCCACGGTTTAATTCCACAACTTGGCCGAAACAAAATCTCATAACTTAGTGTAAACAACACAAATCGCGCTCAAATTTTGCAACGGAACCTCAAAATAGTCAAACTTTGCGATAGTGGTGTCAGTTGCTAAATTGCTACACGTGTTTCCAAATCCCGAAATACAATAGGCAACCCTCGTACCATGAAGCTGACCTAACAACACACACCCTAATATGTGGCGCCCTTATTTTTATTCAGTCATGTCTTTTGATTCTTTATCTCAAAGACTTTACATGAAGGCAAGAGCTCCATCCTCTGTCCATGTTTACAGTCTTTATTTAATACTATTTTCCTCTTGATGGCCGAAATCTTTCAGAATATTATACTTTACTTATAGTATATTCGATATTCGGTAGTACAACTTACAGGAGATGTTACTATATACACCGCACTGTAGCAGATGTCATATAGAGCGCTGTTTATCATCAAATAGCGATAGACGCCTACAACGCTTTTGGCCCTCTTGTACAATATGAAAATTATGAGTATATTAAGAATAATAGAAGCTTTACTGGCAACCAGTGAAATATCATGGGTAACGCTCATACTCTGAAAAAGAAGACCGAAATAAGACCAACGACAACGGAACAACAGATGCCCGTAACCCGAAGAACTTCATGTCACACATTCAAGTCAAGAAAAGAATATCAAAAAGTAAAATACGGCGAATTTTGTAAGACTTTTGAAGATGCGATGTTCGAAATTACAGTTAGGATTCTGTTGCGAAAGCTCCTCACTTCAGCGAGGAGGACTCGAAGCATTTTTTGTCAGCGCCAAGTCCCCAAAAATGAATAGGAAGGGCGAGGGGCTAGCCATAGTTAGCGAACTCGCGCCTGGATCTCTGGGTATGATCTAGAGCCGCTCCCAAGTCCCTGTGAGTCAGTTTGGCTGCAAGACCGGTTGTCTATTGGAAGGTAAAAAGTGTTTACGATTATCATGCCCGTTGAGGAACACTGGTTGTTGAGTGAGTGGGAATGGATAGCGATACTCTTCAGGTATCCAGACTCTGGGGAAGGCGATAAATCCGAAACACAAGTCGATAACAGCTTAGTCATCATCTTAGTAGCAGGTTTTACCAAGTCTCACGAAATTTATTCAAAGCTATGCCAAGACTTATTGAGAGTCGAACCTGGATACTTATGGTCTGGTATCTCAGTAGAAGGGGTGGGCGTGGTGTAATGGTAAGTGGGGCTTTCATCCTTGTTAATAAAGGAGTTTTTGAATTGTGAGAATAGCCGTCAAAGTCCAGCAGTTACGAAAAAACCCTAGGACGATACGGTGGGCATGGTATACGCCGAGCACCCTTATGCCAATGGATGAACCTATTTGGGATGCGCCTCACACGCGGATCTTATTTGAGACCTACTGAGACGTTTGAGGCGACATGTACATCTGAACCCCAGGAGCGATTAGATTATTCATCGAGATGAAATTGGCTATAAGTAAGAATTTTCGATGCAGATCGAGGAGAACGTCTAAAAAAATAAGGGATTTGAGTTTTTCTAGTTTGTATTGACGCAGTCAGATATCAGCATCAAACCATTGAAGTCACAGTTCACGATAATTTTGGTCATTTTAGGTTCAAAAGCGGAAGTGTTAACGTAGAGGAGTACATCAGTAGAGAAGAAAGCGAGAAAATCGGACATTTCCAAGGCCTTTTAAAAGTAGTGATGGAAGTGGATTTTGTACGAGATCACCGTGACGTGACGTATTGACGCAGTGGCGTGTCAAAACTCGCATGATAGCAAAAAAATCAATCGTCATAAGAAATAACGGGGGAAATGTTCATGAAAGAATACAAAATAATAGGAAAAAAAGGACTTCTAAATTGTTCTTGACTAGCAGACATAGGCTCTCTCACATTACTATGGAGACAGCAAATGTTCCCAGAGTTCTGAAGTTCGGAATTTCTGCTTGAAAATCTGTGATTTCCTCGAGGGAAACTGTCTGCTATTTACGTTGGATTCCCTTGAGATTTTAGCTATTCTTGGAAGAGCCTTAGTCATTTCAAGAGGGGAACTGAGAAGGTAGCGAGCGCAGTGCCTCAGAGGTCTTTCGCCGTATCTTGGGAGTCCTTTCCCAGGCACTTACCATTAGTTTCCATTTCTTTGTGCTCATCGAGTTAATGGTGGATGGCTCTTACTTTCCGAAACCAGCAGGTGGTAGGTCTGGTATGGCCTGAACATAACTAGCATGTGTTTGAACCACTTAATTCATTGTTAGGGCTAATGGGGAATGGACGACAGGTTTACAGGTTTGTCTGTGAGTTAGGAAAAAGGTGTGTCAGGAGGGCAAACCGTCGACTTTGGAACGTAACTAAATATTTCACGCTAGGGATAGTTGTCATCCCAAACTTTGGTAGCTTCACCATTTTACATTTATACCTAATTTATTGACTGTTATATCAACTACCTCACTACCACGTACACCATGATTACACAGTAGAAGTGAGAAAATTGGGAAGAATACATGGTTGAATCCCTGGTCCAATCTCATCAATGCCACACAAACCTAGCTTTTCTGCCTATTACCTGTGTTCTGTCTGCGAACAGACTTCGGTTGGGCGTATGAAAAAAATCAAATTGTACTCTGACTCTGCAGTATGTATAGACTAAGTACACACTCAA